AGAAAAAGAAAAGAAAGAAATGGAGAAAAAGGAAAGAAATAATTGGAGGTTAAAAGAAAAGAAAAGAAAAGAAAGAAATGGAAAAAAGGAAAGAAATAATTGGAGGTTAAAGAAAAGAAAGAAATGGAGAAAAGGAAAGAAATAATTGGAGGTTAAAGAAAAAGAAAGAAATGAGAAAAAGGAAAGAAATAATTGGAGGTTAAAGAAAAGAAAGAAATGGAGAAAAGGAAAGAAATAATTGAGGGAAAAAAAAAGAAAGAAATTAAAGAAAATGAGGAAAGAAAAAAATGGAGAAAAGGAAAGAAATAATTGGAGGTTAAAGAAAGAAAGAAATGGAGAAAAAAGGAAAGAAATAATTGGAGGGAAAGAAAAAAAGAAAGAAATGGAGAAAAGGAAAGAAATAATTGGAGGTTAAAGAAAAAGAAAGAAATGGAGAAAAGGAAAGAAATAATTGAGGTTAAAGAAAAAAAGAAAAAGGAGAAAAGGAAAGAAATAATTGAGGTTAAAGAAAAAAAAAGAAATGGAGAAAAAGGAAAGAAATAATTGAGGGAAAGAAAAGAAAGAAATGGAGAAAAAGGAAGAAATAATTGGAGGTTAAAGAAAAGAAAGAAATGGAGAAAAAGGAAAGAAATAATTGAGGTTAAAGAAAAAGAAAGAAATGGAGAAAAGGAAAGAAATAATTGAGGTTAAAGAAAAAGAAAGAAATGGAGAAAAAGGAAAGAAATAATTGGAGGGAAAGAAAAAGAAAGAAATGGAGAAAAAGGAAAGAAATAATTGGAGGGAAAGAAAAAGAAAGAAATGGAGAAAAAGGAAAGAAATAATTGGAGGTTAAAGAAAAAGAAAGAAATGGAGAAAAAGGAAAGAAATAATTGGAGGGAAAGAAAAAGAAAGAAATGGAGAAAAAGGAAAGAAATAATTGGAGGTTAAAAAAAAGAAAGAAATGGAGAAAAAGGAAAGAAATAATTGAGGTTAAAGAAAAAAGAAAGAAATGGAGAAAAGGAAAGAAATAATTGGAGGAAAGAAAAAGAAAGAAATGGAGAAAAGGAAAGAAATAATTGAGGTTAAAGAAAAAAGAAAGAAATGGAGAAAAAGGAAAGAAATAATTGGAGGTTAAAGAAAAGAAAGAAATGGAGAAAAGGAAAGAAATAATTGAGGTTAAAGAAAAGAAAGAAATGGAGAAAAAAGGAAAGAAATAATTGGAGGTTAAAGAAAAAAGAAAGAAATGGAGAAAAGGAAAGAAATAATTGGAGGTTAAAGAAAAGAAAGAAATGGGAAAAAAGGAAAGAAATAATTGGAGGTTAAAGAAAAAGAAAGAAATGGAGAAAAAGGAAAGAAATAATTGGAGGTTAAAAAAGAAAGAAATGGAGAAAAGGAAAGAAATAATTGGAGGAAAGAAAAGAAAGAAATGGAGAAAAGGAAAGAAATAATTGAGGAAAGAAAAAGAAAGAAATGGAGAAAAAGGAAAGAAATAATTGAGGGAAAGAAAAGAAAGAAATGGAGAAAAGGAAAGAAATAATTGGAGGTTAAAGAAAAAGAAAGAAATGGAGAAAAGGAAAGAAATAATTGAGGTTAAAGAAAAGAAAGAAATGGAGAAAAAGGAAAGAAATAATTGAGGGAAAGAAAAAAGAAAGAAATGGAGAAAAGGAAAGAAAAATTGGAGGTTAAAAAAAAAAGAAAGAAATGGAGAAAAAGGAAAGAAATAATTGGAGGTTAAAAAAAAAGAAAGAAATGGAGAAAAAGGAAAGAAATAATTGAGGAAAGAAAAAGAAAGAAATGGAGAAAAGGAAAGAAATAATTGAGGTTAAAGAAAAGAAAGAAATGGAGAAAAAGGAAAAGAAATAATTGGAGGTTAAAGAAAAGAAAGAAATGGAGAAAAAAGGAAAGAAATAATTGGAGGTTAAAAAGAAAAAGAAAGAAATGGAGAAAAAGGAAAGAAATAATTGAGGGAAAGAAAAGAAAGAAATGGAGAAAAAAGGAAAGAAATAATTGAGGTTAAAGAAAAAGAAAGAAATGGAGAAAAGGAAAGAAAAAAGGAAAGAAAAGAAAGAAATGGAGGTTAAAGAAATAATTGAGGTTAAAAAAAAGAAAGAAATGGAGAAAAAGGAAAGAAATAATTGGAGGTTAAAGAAAAAGAAAGAAATGGAGAAAAAGGAAAGAAATAATTGGAGGAAAGAAAAAGAAAGAAATGGAGAAAAAGGAAAGAAATAATTGGAGGTTAAAGAAAAAGAAAGAAATGGAGAAAAAGGAAAGAAATAATTGGAGGTTAAAGAAAAAAGAAAGAAATGGAGAAAAAGGAAAGAAATAATTGGAGGAAAGAAAAAAAAGAAATGGAGAAAAAGGAAAGAAATAATTGAGGTTAAAGAAAAAAAGAAAGAAATGGAGAAAAAAGGAAAGAAATAATTGGAGGTTAAAGAAAAGAAAGAAATGGAGAAAAAGGAAAGAAATAATTGGAGGGAAAGAAAAGAAAGAAATGGAGAAAAAGGAAAGAAATAATTGGAGGTTAAAGAAAAAGAAAGAAATGGAGAAAAAGGAAAGAAATAATTGGAGGGAAAGAAAAAGAAAGAAATGGAGAAAAAGGAAAGAAATAATTGGAGGGAAAGAAAAAGAAAGAAATGGAGAAAAAGGAAAGAAATAATTGGAGGTTAAAGAAAAAGAAAGAAATGGAGAAAAAGGAAAGAAATAATTGGAGGTTAAAGAAAAAGAAAGAAATGGAGAAAAAGGAAAGAAATAATTGGAGGTTAAAGAAAAAGAAAGAAATGGAGAAAAAGGAAAGAAATAATTGGAGGTTAAAGAAAAAGAAAGAAATGGAGAAAAAGGAAAGAAATAATTGGAGGTTAAAGAAAAAGAAAGAAATGGAGAAAAAGGAAAGAAATAATTGAGGAAAGAAAAAAGAAAGAAATGGAGAAAAAAAAGGAAAGAAATAATTGAGGGAAAGAAAAAAAAAGAAATGGAGAAAAAGGAAAGAAATAATTGAGGGAAAGAAAAAAAGAAATGGAGAAAAAGGAAAGAAATAATTGAGTTAAAAGAAAAGAAAGAAATGGAGAAAAGGAAAGAAATAATTGGAGGTTAAAGAAAAAAGAAAGAAATGGAGAAAAAGGAAAGAAATAATTGAGGGAAAGAAAAAAAAGAAATGGAGAAAAGGAAAGAAATAATTGGAGGAAAAAAAAGAAAGAAATGGAGAAAAGGAAAGAAATAATTGGAGGTTAAAGAAAAAAGAAAGAAATGGAGAAAAGGGAAAGAAATAATTGGAGGGAAAAGAAAAGAAAAGAAAAAGAAAGAAATGGAGAAAAAAGGAAAGAAATAATTGGAGGTTAAAGAAAAAAGAAAGAAATGGAAAAAGGAAAGAAATAATTGGAGGGAAAAAAAAGAAAGAAATGGAGAAAAAAGGAAAGAAATGGAGAAAAGAAAAGAAAGAAATGGAGAAAAAGGAAAGAAATAATTGAAAAGAAAAGAAAGAAATGGAGAAAAAGGAAAGAAATAATTGGAGGGAAAAAAAGAAAGAAATGGAAAAAGAAAAAGGAAAGAAATAATTGGAGGAAAAAAAGAAAGAAATGGAGAAAAAGGAAAGAAATAATTGGAGGGAAAGAAAAGAAAGAAATGGAGAAAAGGAAAGAAATAATTGGAGGTTAAAGAAAGAAAGAAATGGGAGAAAAAAGGAAAGAAATAATTGGAGGTTAAAGAAAAAAAGAAATGGAGAAAAAGGAAAGAAATAATTGAGGAAAGAAAAGAAAGAAATGGAGAAAAAGGAAAGAAATAATTGGAGGAAAGAAAAAGAAAGAAATGGAGAAAAAGGAAAGAAATAATTGGAGGTTAAAAGAAAAAGAAAGAAATGGAGAAAAGGAAAGAAATAATTGGAGGTTAAAGAAAAGAAAGAAATGGAGAAAAAGGAAAGAAATAATTGAGGGAAAGAAAAGAAAGAAATGGAGAAAAAAGGAAAGAAATAATTGGAGGTTAAAGAAAAGAAAGAAATGGAGAAAAGGAAAGAAATAATTGAGGGAAAGAAAAGAAAGAAATGGAGAAAAAGGAAAGAAATAATTGGAGGTTAAAGAAAAGAAAGAAATGGAGAAAAAGGAAAGAAATAATTGGAGGGAAAAAAAAGAAAGAAATGGAGAAAAAAAAAAAGAAAGAAATGGAGGTTAAAGAAAAGAAAGAAATGGAGAAAAGGAAAGAAATAATTGGAGGAAAGAAAAAGAAAGAAATGGAGAAAAAGGAAAGAAATAATTGGAGGGAAAAAGAAAAGAAAGAAATGGAGAAAAAAGGAAAGAAATAATTGGATGGGAAAGAAAAAAGAAAGAAATGGAGAAAAGGAAAGAAATAATTGGAGGAAAAAAAAGAAAGAAATGGAGAAAAGGAAAGAAATAATTGGAGGTTAAAGAAAAAGAAAGAAATGGAGAAAAGGAAAGAAATAATTGGAGGAAAGAAAGAAAGAAAGAAAGAAAGAAAAAATTGGAAAAAAAAAGAAAGAAATGGAGTTAAAAAAAGGAAAGAAATAATTGGAGGAAAGAAAAAGAAAGAAATGGAGAAAAAGGAAAGAAATAATTGGAGGGAAAGAAAAAGAAAGAAATGGAGAAAAAGGAAAGAAATAATTGGAGGTTAAAGAAAAAGAAATAAATGGAAAGAAAGGAAAGAAATAAACAAAGAAAATAAATGCAAGGAAAAAATAAATGCAGAGAAAGAAAAAGGAAAGAAATAAATGAACATAGAAAGAGTGAAAAGGAAAGAAATGAAGAAAGAAAGAAAGAAAGAAAGAAAGAAAGGGGAGAGAGAAAGAAAGAAGCATAAACGGAAAGAAAGATGAGCAGATTTTATAATTCTTTATGTTTGTATGACAATAGAAAGTTTATTCTGACTGCGTTCTTTTCAAAGCTTAATTCTCGATGGACTCATGATATATGTACGTTCACAATTGGTATTCTCTAATTAATTGTTTTTTACGGCTTATCACCCTTTATGGGTTATTTAAAGCCGGGACATCTTTCGGATTGTATGTGGTTGCTTATAGTACCTGGTGTTCCCAAGCAGTCACCCATCTAAGTACTGACCAGGATCGACGTTGCTTAATTTCGGTGACTGAACAAGAACTGGTGTTTTCTGCATGAGTTGATCATTGGCTGGTCTCCTGTAAGATAACAACCAATGTAACGATTATCGACGGGGAATCGGGGATCTGAGTTCAAATTCAGGGCTTGTCAGTTGAATTCTCTTTTTCAATAAATGGTCTCTGGAAAAACTTGAATCCATCTCTTCTCCATCTCCATAGCTCAAGTTTAAATAGCAGTTCAGACTAGCCTCTGTAGCCTTGTGTGACAACCAGTCTTGAAGAAGGAATGATTCTGGATTCAAATGTGTGAAGGCACGGGAACCACTCCACTGTATTTCCAAAAAATACTTGGCAACTCACAGATAATAAAACAGGAATCAGTGGAGAGTCATGTACACCTACATACCGAAGAGAAATGACATACAAGGTGCGATGGGTAAATTGTCGACATTTTATATTTTTAATTTCGCGCATGCGCGTTGTTTGTTTTTGATTTAGTCGACTGCAAAGGATTCGGAAACAGTTGGATGTGATTACGAAGGTACGGCAGCTCCGAAAAGAAAAGAACTCGCGAATCTGTTGGTGAGGACCTCCGACTCAACATAAAGGCCTATATCAAGTGTCTTGAGGAGGCAGTTCTGCTCTCGGTTCAGAGGTTGGCTACTGGAAGACCCTACGTCTGGCAACAGGTCTCTGCACCATGCTACACAAGCAGGAAAACACAGCCATAGCTGTTAGACAATTTCTGCAGCCGTATCATCCATTACATCTAATCACCTATCTCCCCAGACTGATTATTATGTGTGGGGTGCAGTTGAGCGAAAGACCAACAAAACTCCTTGTAACACCAAAGATGAACTGAATGCAAGGATTATGGCAGTATCCACCAACTTAAACAAGGAGACCGTCCAGAAGAGTTGCAGGAGATTCCGAAGTCTTGTAGAGGCTGTAGTTGAAGCCAATGGTGATTTTATCGAATAAATTTACTCTTTAGTATTTCAAGATATTTTTGTGTAATGTTGGTAACTATATCTGTTAAAATGAGATGCCAATGTTTTTATTTTTGCGTAATTTAGACGACAATTTATCAATCTCACCAAACACACACACACACACATACACACACACACATATATATATATATATATATATATATATATATAATGAAATGGACTAAGTCCCACAGTTATTTTAATATATTTTATGTTTATGTTATTTTTATAGATACAAATATTTAAGTAAATGCTGTTTATAATAAATATTATTAACTACATTTACCGGCCTGAATACAGTAATTTGACTTTGCTAACCAGTCGCTTCCTCTGTAGTTAAATGGTATAGCACGTCAGGCACCCGTTCCATGTAGGATACAGTTTCAATTCGACACGTGTCTGAACCCCCTCTAACCCGGGCCACACTTACTCTACATAGACATATTATACCTTTTTGGAATTAGGATGATCCCGAGATTGAAAATCTACCATTCATCTGGTGCTTGAATATACAAAATTGGATTTGTTTTCAGATAAAATTCAAAGTTTAAAATAACTAAAAAAGAAATTAGTGATTTTAAAATTTTTTAATTTATATTGAGTTTAAAGTAACACAAAAACTTTGTAAATTTAAAAATTCTTGCTTTAAATTCAATTTAAAATATTTCCAAAATTTTGCGAATTGAAGAAATCGGTTTTATTTCTTCAGAATGCCAAGGAATCACAGTTAAAGTAAGAGTTTTTATGACGTGAGGTTTTGGAGTTCCGCAGAGTTTGTAATTTGAAGAACTCAATTTTCGGCTTGAATTGGAATTTCTGCCCAAATCGATCTTTTGGCCGGAATTGGACTTATAGTCTGAACCAGAGTTTAAATGAGGTTTTGAAGTTCCATGCAATGAAATAAGGAATTCAATGTTATTTCTTCAAAGTTATCATTGTTGTTTTGTAAGCTGAACGAGAGGTCGCTTTAGTTTTGTGGCGGAGACCCAATTAGCCCTTCGCAGGGTCTAGCTTAAAACTCTGCATGGAATGCTGCATTTAAGCTAGTTTATGGATAAAAGTTGATTCTAAAATAGGACATTATTTTCCGAACAACCTAATAATACACTGTAACGACGGACAGACAGAATTTTCCGTTTATTTATTTATATAGAAGATTAATGCATTTAAACAACGTTTAAATCAGTCAAAATAAGAACCCTGAACATATATACATTATATATAACATCGAGTTACAAGGTCATTTATGCCTTTACGATAAAATTCTAAAGGTTTGGATGATAAGAAATCTTTGAATGAAGTTTCTGCATCTTCTTTGCAATGGAAAGCCTTTATGTTTAAAAATTAAGATACTTGAAAAGTGGTTGTTATTGGGTGAGTGATCAGGGGAATATGGTGAATGTGGCAAAATGTGGAATATGGTGAATGTGGCAAAATGTGGAATATGGTGAATGTGGCAAAATGTGGAATATGGTGAATGTAGCAAAATCTCTTATCCCAAATCGGTGAGCTGCTACAGTGTTATTATAGTAACATGTGGTCGGGCATTGTCATGAAGCAAAGAATTGAACCATGTCGATTAAACAATGTGCATCTCATCCAGTTGTTGGCAGTAAACTTCAGTAGTGATGTTCTGGTCAGATTCCACAAATTTGTAATAGCTAACTCCAATGGCGGACAACAAAACAGTGACCGGCTTCTTCTGTTGGTGCAATATTCGATATTTGAAAGTGTTTGGTGCTTCGTCAGGATCAAGTCATTGAGACAATCGTTTACAATTGTCATGAAGGATCCATTTCTTACCACAAGTCAATATTCAATCAAAAAATGAATCTTTCGAATTTCGTAGATGCAGCATCGAACACACTTTACGGGGTTCATGTGCAACTTATTTATCGAGTTTAGTTACCTTGCCAACATTATTGTTGAAATGCTGACACCCATAATCTGAGACATTTCTCCGACCCTTTGACGTGGGTTATGCTCGACTAGTGTTTTCAGATATTATTAATTGCAGATGAACGTCCTCTACCACCTTGATCATCAAGGCTTGTATCCCCACTGAGAATTTTCAGAAACCAACTCAGGGTGAGGAGTATATAATGTTTTGAGCTATATTCTAAAAGAAATTAATATAAAATTAACAAAAAGGACACTTATTAAGAATGATTAATATGGTTTTGTGCAACTGTTATAATAATATATTAGAACACAATTAATATGTTTATTCTAAGGTCGGACATTATTTCCCGACCAAGAGCGATGTCGGCTTTTGTCCTGCTGCTGATAGACCTCTTACACTGCCATTATAACGAGCCAATAATTTGTTGATTTATTGATTGATTTGTTTTTTACGGCTCATCAACACATTGCAGGTTATTTAAAGCCAGAAAATATTTTTAGATTGTAAGAATTTTTGGTGATAATAATGATTTACTGATACAAATACTACTAATTAACCCATAGCCGCGGAAGGAGATGAGGTGGATTCATATTTTTCCTAATGATATTTCGGCATAAGTAATAACTACAACGAACCCGGCTGCGATTGGAACTCGACTCTCCGATTTCCAATTCCGAACTGTTTTCCATTAAACCACTCACACATCCGAGGTGACAGCTCTTGATATTCCCAAGCGATCACCCATCTAGGTATTGACTAGACTCGACGTTGCTTAACTTCGATGATCGTACAGGAACCGGTCTTTCAACATTATATGGCCGTAAGCTTTCCAATAATCTAAAACAGTAAATTCCTATATTTAGTTGTCACCCCTCAACAAGAAAATATGATATAAAATGATTATTGTAGTGTATAGAGAATTCGTACAATCATCTAACAGAGTACACGACCCAAGGCTACCCTCTATGGTATGTCATGCCCTACTTGTTTTGAGATATTCTCACTGACGTTAGGGTGTTCTAAGTTTACTCATTTCGCTGCAGTCGAATGGTTCTGTTTGGTAGCTGACCTACTCGGTCAGAAGTCCTTCAGCCGATTTTTGACTCATCCCATTCGAAGGCGGCAATAGGTGCTGGTGATAGCCAACAACTGTCATGATCATGTTCGTTGATTACGATAATATTTGTTGGGAGACTTTTATTGAATGTAGCCAAGAAACAAGATTTTGTTAGCAGTCTCACAGGGTGTACTGAAGGCAAGAGAGGCAGGGGAAAGCATCGAGTACCCTACCTAAAGTGTTTATATAAATGAATGTCAAAACATCAACTGGGAGTGGATAAAGTATCAAAATTTGCTGATAGCCACAAATTATAAGAAGCTGTGTAGAGCCATGATAGTCCACATCCGGTAGGGACACTGTGCACAAGAAAGATATAACACAGTAAGCTGTTTCAATTGGTATAGTCTGTGAGGTTTGCCTTGATGAGAATGAATCGATTCAGTCAGTATACAGGTAACTATCTTCTCTGTTTATATTTCTGAGATAAGGTACTGTAACTAGATACACTATGGTCCAGTTGATAAAAGTGTTCGTTGAAATAATCTAGTGACTTGTGCCAAAGAATTGTAAGTTCAATACGTGGCCATAGAAGATGTGAAATCTTGGGGTGTTTAGTTACTAAAAGGAAATAAATGAAACTGAGATATCCAGAAAAGACATGACAGGGGCACTAGAACAGTATATCCCAATGGACTAAATAAAGTGTTCGATTCGAAATTCCAGCGTATATCACCTGAAGAATGACAGTTACATAACGACCGAAACGTCGCGAATATGAAAACTAAAGATGAGGACAAAAAGTCCGAAAAATGTAACTAATCATTTCTATTCATTTTAAAATAAAATATTATGCTGACTGAAAAGTATTTTCGCTTTTTACAGATCTTTAAACCGCAGTTTATTTCATGTACATATCTAAACACTAGGTGTCAACTGCAACAAGTATTTATAATATTATTATTCTCTTCTTCCACGGAGGTTTTTCGTTTTCAACTGGAGATCTTGCATTATGGGTTCTTTCAATCAAGTCATACAACCTCAAACAGTACCTTTCGCAGAATATTTGCAGAACTAAGCAACGCAGACTTCTGAAGCGACGGAACCGTAGGC